AGGAGTTCTTCCTTCTTGGAAAGGAACAAACAGTGAGTTTATTTTCAGTCACCCTTATCGCTTTTGTATTGACACAACATAATTCACAGTCTAATTATTTCCAAGCACCCTCAGCTGAAATATGATACAATTTAAAGAGTACATGAAAGAGAAAAAATACAAAAGAAACATAAAAAAAAATGCAATTCAGTTCAGTTTGGCTCAAATTGCACTCATTGCATGTTATTGTTTGATTTGAGGCACACTGTAAAATGTATGTATCATAAATTAGTTTTAATGCCTCTAACAATCCTCCCTCTAAGCAAACGACTCGTGTAAGAAGCTATTAGCCTCATTACAATCACAACAGATAGTTTGGGAAAGCATGGGAACAAGGAGTTAAGGTGAAATGTAAACATAAAAAAATGTTAAAGTCAGTTTAAAACTGAAAGCTACCTGAATTCTAGTCAAATTTTTTCACACCTTTCTTAAGCTTCTTTACTCTTGAGACTAGAAGAATAAGTTCTCTGCTGAACTCGGGGTCAGCTCTGGAGCCTCAGCATAAAAAGTTAAACATCTAGCTGCAAAGCTAGAGTGGCCTCAGTCATGATTACCTTTCCACAGGTAATTCATTAAGAGTGTTCTCACCAGTGGATTTGACAACAACACGCTAAATGCAAGGAAATCTTTACAATTAGTCATTAAAACTACAGCAGATTAGAATCACCAGTTAACCGTACTTACAAAGAGAGAAATGTCTTTTGAAATTTTTATATTTGTAGCATATTCATATGTAGCTATACATCACTGGTGCTCTGTAATTATAATTTTAAGCCCAGAGTGATGGCGCAGTTGGGAGTCTTGCCTCACAAGAACTTTCCTTGTTTGTACATCTTAGTCACCTGGAGCCAGTCTGTGTAAAGTCTACATGTTCTGCCTGTGCCTGCATGAGTTTCCTCTAGGTATTCTGGCTTCTTCCCACACTCCAAAGTTAGGTTAACTGGTGTTTCTGAACTGGCCTTGGGTGTGATTGCTGTAGCATGTGTGGTTGTCTATCTATGTTTTGGACTGTTATGGACTCAAAGCATGTACAACCCTGTCATACTGTCAAAGCTCTTTCCTGTGCCTGTACAAACAAATATATTCTCAAATGGAGATTATGTTTTAAAAAATCGTGTTCATGTTCAATATATGAATATATGGGAATAATTAACAAAACCAAAGGTAATATTTATCTGTCTAGGGATTAAATATTTATGTTAAGGCCTGCTATTACCCACACTACGCCTCACTTATATTTCGTTTATTTTACAGTCCTTTAAACGTATTCTTTCTCTAAATATTACTATTTCATTGCCTGAAAAACAAACAAACACTAAACAATAATTCAGAGACACGTGTTTGGACATGCTACCCCCTCCTGTATGACTAAATTACACTTTTTAATCACCTGAAGTGGTCTCGCGTGATAAAACGCTGTCTTATATGAACACATATCCATCACCAAACACCAAACAAAAAAAAAAACAACAATTTTTTTCATGGCTCGTTATCGCTCGAGTGAGAATGTCGACAGTTGTCTTCTTAAAGGGACAGTGCGACACTTCGTCTTGTTTGCAGCTGCGCAGAGGACGCCTGTCGCTTTAAAAAGCGTGACAGTTCATAGATGTAAAAGTGGGCTATGTGAGTTTTTGCTGTGTCGGGGCTGTAGCGTTCTCATACTGCTGTCGACCTTTGGATCTCGACCCCCGGGGACAGTAGGCAGATCCGCCGTCCTCACTGACAATTGGCTGTGCTGCTCTTCTCTTGAGAACTGCTGCTTCCTATTACGCTTCAGCTCGAGACCAAAACACAGAAGAGATGTGGCGCGAGTGTGCGCGATGCTGCCAAAGTCCCCGGTCCTTAGTGCAGGCCCTTATCGCAATGTTTGAAGATTAACGAGGTTATCCGTGTCCTCTAGACCACCAGAGATACAGCAGCTGTTCCCAGCAGGCCACGAAGCCACCCTAGCAGCCGGACAGCGTGTCGAGTCGGACTGACAGGAAGGAAGTAACCGCTGTATCTGCACGGGACAAGCAGAGCCTGGTAGCATGACTGAAAAACGAATGTCGCGGTGGTATTTCGGTGGGCTGGCATCATGTGGAGCCGCCTGCTGCACGCATCCTCTGGATCTCCTTAAGGTGAGCGGCGTAAGGGGCACAGTAACCTTCCGCCGCGTGTGCAGGCCTTGACACATGGGTACAGCTGTTCCCAGAGGCAGTACTGGGGAACATGACAGATTAGTTATTCGCGGATAGCTCAT